ATTTGGTATGCGCGGAACTCTGAAACATTAGGTTGTGTGCTCAAAGGATTTGAAAGGCTATCAAGGCCAGACTAAAATATAAAGAAACTGTGTGAACTTCTGGGTATGATTCACCACTAAATGATGGTTTTCCAACACTGGAAGGGCCAGGTGGTCCTGTAAGGTCTTCGGTTCCGCTTCAAACTGAATAGTTTCTGTTACGCACGAAAATTTACGATCTTCCTGTTTAGAGTTTCGCGGAGTAGTTTAGGTCGTTGTGCACCAAAAAGAAGGGCGGTTCCACGCCGTTAGTCCGTCAGTCACAAAACATGGTGTGCCATAAGGCACGTAAACACTGAAAGCCATTATGGCAAAATTCGATCCATTTAGCTAAGGGGTCGTCTTGGGTGAACGAAAGTCGAGTGGAAAAGTTATTCATACCCAAGCAAATTTGGGCCTCTTCACATGATTATGATGAATGCGGGTGAATGAAAGTCCGCCAATCAGACATGGACTAGAAACGATTTGTGGTGGTTCTGGCGGGTAGATTTATTCATTAACAAATGAAAGGATTAATGGATTTAGCTACATCGTGTATGATAGCTGCATGAAGTACCGTGTAAATTTAGCGCATGCGCATGACTTAATCGCTGTCGTTCGAACGGCGTGGCGGTGGCAAAGCATCGAAGCAAAGAGCTCGAAGTAGATGATAATAGCGTATTCGCCAAACACCCTCATTTGAACAATGGTTAAGTTTTAACAATTGAATATGCTGCAAAAAGGTTCGCCTCGTGTTTCAGTTGGTACGATATTGCAGATATCCAAGTAAATATTCTCAAAGAAATATTGTCCACAAGTTTTCTGAAAACTCCTTGACAGAAAAAGACGGGTTTCGTCCTTTTTGAAGGTCACTAGATAAGCGCAGTCCAAGAGTTCGCCTCCAGGTGATGTCCCAGTTGAAAATCAAAGTGTACGCAACTGATCGGATACATCGTTTCTAATTAAATTAGTGTTAACGGAAGACTCAACTCAATTCCAGCTGAATCTCTCGTTTATGATATTTCTCAGCCGAATGCACACTATTATCTGGCACACCATCGCATGTGTCAAGCACAGAGGACCTCAACACACATGCTAGTCATGTCTGACGTTCAGATGAGTAATGAGTAACTTTTTTGCTATATGTAACACTCTTTATCGGGTTGGCTGAGTCTCTCAGCAATTTTCGCGTGCTAGTTCCGTATGTAGATTGTGGAAAAGTCCTGATTTTTGGCGCCTCATTGGGAGACTAAAAATGACTAACGACTAATAAATGTTTACCAAAATGTCCGCTGAATTATAATTTGTTACAATACGTATTCTGCCTTCATTCCCGCCATCTACCAAGTCGAGAGGGATTCGTGGGCTATGCTTCATTGTCGTTTAAAGAAACGTAAGATTGCCCTATCAGGGATTTGACTCATCGCTCTGTCCAGATCAAGAACATTGTCCAGTTCAAGAGCACTTAAGTTGGGATCTGGGTACATCCATGTTTGTGTCAGTGAGCGTCAAGTATATCCAATGCGGTTATCCACTGGATCCATGAAGTGGCCCTCAAAGCGCTTCTCAGCACGCATCACAGTCGTTTAGTAGTTTTGTGCCCACCGAAACAAACTTGATCAAAAGTTTAGTGAACAGCTGCCTTGAATGAAATGTTGATAATTTAACTGTTCTAACTTGAACTGGAACGGAGAAAATTGCGACCGATCAGTAAGTGCCTGTGATAAGATGACGAGGTACGGGTTTTATTCGGATGTATGTAACGCAATAATTCAAAGAATACGATCACGGGCTGGTATGAGTTGTTAACTAAAGGCAGAAAATCGTATAATTATGCTTTCTAAGTTTATCTGACCCTTTAATTTTGGCTAAATCTGCCTTGACCTATGGAATGCACGATCTGAGATCTTAGCTGATCGTGTATTAGACTGAGTGGAATTTACCGTGACCTTCAGACTATAGCAATCATTTGACCAGGAAAAGACAGCCGACCGGAACATCCCTGCCCCATTTTCTCCTACGCGCAAAACTATCCTACACAATTCATGGAATTATTCCTCTTGAAAATACCTTGATCATATAATCAGGACTAAATATTAGTCGGGCACTCTGGAAGTTATCCCATAGAAGACCGTTAGCACCTCAGCACTGTCAGATTCAGGAAAGTTACCAGCCCAGTTAGTCAAATGAACCAGCTCCTGATGTGTCAATTTAAGAATTTGTTACGAGTATCCTGTGTTACCAAGTGAGCTCAAAGGTGCACACTTGGTTGACATCCAATTCTGGATTCGCCTGTCACATCGAATGACCGAGAGATCCTGTGTAGACTATGTGCAACGTCCTTATGTGGGCACAATAAAGTGCACAACCGGGGGAATAAGGATGGGACAGGGTGGTGGTGGTGGGCGGCCACCACACTAAATGATGGTCCGTAATCGTCATATCCGAAGACCCAGCGTGTGCGAAGATTGGCTGGGTAACATTGAGAACGCATTCACATAGTCAACTGGAGTTAGCCAGCAGTTAAGTTGCTCCACACGAATAGTCACAGGATGTCATTTGTGGCATCAATGTAGGCCCACAACACAGCATGTCAGGACGGGTAACTTAGATACCCGAAAAGAAACCAATAGCCGCACTCCAAGATGTGCACCTTCGGTGAACCGATGGTTTTTTTTATGACGAACAAACTTGACTTACCGTTGTGCGGTGCACTACGTTTGCACAAAACTTAGGTATGTGCAGCGGCAGTTATTGAAATTCGTGTCTAGCACGGTCGCAGATTTATCTAGCTGAAAAGATGTGCAATCGAGGGCCTTTTGAGGATACTTTACTGACTGGCGTTCAATCAAAGAAGTGCTGCATTCACCCGAGAGGATCAGCGAAAACAACCACATCACTTAAATTTCCATCACCCTGTCAAAAACTTCGAGGACCTCTTGACGCCTCTCAATTGGATCGACATATCGTGTTGTTTGTGCTTCAGCCACAGAGTGTACGACGTCCGTGATGTTAGCTTTCATAGATTTAACCAACAAGTGCAGATGTCGCTGTCAGGATTACATCCCTTGCATTCAGTTCGCCATAAACCCATGGGGTAAAAATAACAACCCTAATGGGACAGGCAAATCGTTTACCAGATCCTTAGACCTAACCGTGTTTCCTATGTGACTTTAGAGTTTTAGTCGGTATATCAGTGATCAGCTATGTTCTATGCGGCACGGTGATTATTACCATGCTTCTTCAGAAGGGATTGCCGTAACACTTACAGCTAAAGTACCTGGTAAATCAGTTGACTGTGTTTTTACTGGGCATTTTGACTAAACGAAACAATTCAAACTCTTTTAGTGCAGCTCGTGAATGTCAAAAATCAGACCAAGCGATGGCAGGAAGTAAGTTATGATACGGCTTTAAGCATAAAATCGCCGGCTTCGCGCCTTTCATGGCCTAAAAGCGGAATTCTCGACGGTGTATTGGAACAGAATAGGGCTAGAACATCCATAAGTCGGTTGCTGAAGCTCGGAAATTTCTGTGAATATCGCGAAGCTAAGTAAAAGATTTGAGAAGAAACGTTGGATAAAAATGATACGTCACCGCTCAAGGGAGTGTGAGAACAGTCAGTTGACCCCTCTTACTCAGTTTTATATTAACGTTCAGATCCTTGAAACTCCGGACCTTGACCTCTGTTTTCTAGATTCCACTAGACCATTGCAATAGCCCAGTTTTCTCGAATCGAGTATGATGTGACCAACAGCAGCCGTAAGATCCATCACACGCTCCTCATATGACTACGGCATGATTTGCTTCTGACCATTTTCTGAATGGCTTTGCGCGTTGCTACCCAGTGGTCCTAACTGAAAGTCACATGGGCTGCCATGATGCGCGACCAGTGTGGAAGATGTTCGGACGAAATTTCAAAAGTAAAGTGAACAAACTATTACAGCCAAGACGTAAATAGACCACGCATTCGGTCCGTTTACCAGAGAGTCTTTCAGTGCAAATGCATGGGTTGCTTTCGGGTCCCGTTTACTTACATTGGACAAACAGGCCCCAACCAAATTGGACGACCAGAACTCACGTCCTGAAGAATCCCCCTATCCTTTAATCTTGAGAGTGAACATCAATCCCAGGTAATGAATAATAAAGCCGATCATTCATTGCATAACAAGGTGCTCTACCAATACATCACATACCCTTCATCACAGACCCATTTGTTTCAATACCGGTTCCCTATGGATCACGTTATCCCTTGACAAATCGGGACATAGTCACTGCGTGAAGGAGTCTGTCATCACCAGGTTTTGGACCAATTACCAATCACACCAGAAGGCCAATCCGTGGCGTGAGCAGAAACAAAACGGACAAATACGAAACGGTACCACTGCTGTAGTGATTAGATTGTGGCAACAACGTGATGCGGTCTGATAAGACGACCTGACAAGATAAACAATCAGCTTCAGCTTCCTTCAGCTGTATCGTGGACACATGGGCATTTTCACGAATTATACTCCTAAGATGGCACTAGTTGCCTTCTTCGCTGTGCACAGCTAATAACATTACAATCAGGTCCAGTTTAACCGAGTCACGATTAACCGGTCCAGCAGTCAACTGGATCCCAGCGAGTTCGCTCATTGGTAAATTGGTCGGACGATAAATCGGCTACGATGAGTGACTGGAGACAAACTGATGCACAAATAGATGACTACATTACTTCGGTCAGTCACCGCACCTAACGTTGAGAAAGAGTTGGTCTTTAGATACGATACCAGAATAGCAGGCAAATAGTAACGTCTCAATCCACAAGCTCTATTTTTTCATATCCGTTTCTCCAGTTTGCCGTACAGCACGCCATTCCTCGTACCACGGTCCATAGTTGAATTACAAAACAGGGTAGTACCTGGGCAGAAGACGTTTGTGCAGTAGTCTCACGAAAACAGAAATATTCTAACATATGAAGCAATTCGACTAAGACTCAAACTAACCTGACAGGCATTGTATTCCGCAATCGTTGCTGAATATAGAGGATACTGAGGAATAGGAACCATGACGCCTGCCCTTTTATTTCCGTCGCAACCAGTAGAAATTAATTGGAGAACAGACTAAAGACAGAATGGAGAGGGAATTATTAGAACTCTTCAAGGACACACTAATAATGGCAGCTGGTTGTGGCAATGAAGATGATGGTTGACAAAATAACACACTAATCACTACATAGTATAGAAACTTTTCGAACAAATTTTGGAATTCGGATTGCTTTAACGAGTATCGCTGAAGTGAGGGTTCAAGCTGTAAACAAAATATGTGCAGATGAACAAGTCTCAAGTCAGATTCTAAGTGACATAGCACGGGAGAATGCCGAAGCACTTCCAGCTCGGTTAAACTTATGTTTTAACCCTTGAAGGTGACGTAAATGCAGATAAGATGAATGTACTTCATTCTATCAGTAAAGTAAAGTCCCTAGCTTTCATGCTACCCGAAGGAAGCATGAGGGCTGAGATAGTGTCAGATTGCCCAGTCCTAGATAAGAGCAGTTTGAATGACGACGATGGATTCAAACATGGGGCATCTCAGTCAGTGCTTTCATGCTCCCGAAGGAAGCATGAGGGCTGAGATAGTGTCAGATTGCCCAGTCCTAGATAAGAGCAGTTTGAATGACGACGATGGATTCAAACATGGGGCATCTCAGTCAGTGAATTCACACCTTAACCAAGGAGTCATCTCGAGAATGCCTTCCGATATTTGAACATACCCCCTGCAGATTTGGGATGACAGTGTGCAGCTTGGATATCCTAGATACTGAAAAGAGAACAAAGACTAAAATGGAGTCAGAGGGAGCTTCAGAGCTTCAGTGAGAGTCAGAGCTTCAAGCGGCATTCATCACGCAAGCAAATATATCACAAACGATGATGCACACGGAGGTAGAGCACCTGCTAACGGCTGACATGGGACGGAGACAAATTCCAAGCATGCAGAACCTAGTTACCCGACTCTAACCAGCCGAATGATACCACTAGGAAAGAACAAGTTGAAACGAACCTCAAAAATAAGGTTCTATACTCCACTACTATCTTGTAGACGCACATAGGCGCGTGCACAAATACGGAAAACTATTCTCGGTCGGGTAAGAAACAAGCTCTGACTTGATGGTCCGGCGACACTTGACCACGATCAGTACCAGCAGTTTGTCTACCTCAAATACCGTGTCATTGCATTAATGACCTAAACCCATACACCTACACTGATCACCGGCCATCTAGCGTGACGCTGTCCCTATGAAGGAGTCGACCCATCCTGTGGAACTATGTTGGACGTGGTTAGCCAGTGCACAAGTGTTCCTAAATCTGATGGGAACTTTGACGGCAAACTGGCGTGGATTCTCGCGCGTTGCCGACAGCAGGGTGTTCCTTATTGAGGGACGGAGACAACGAACAGACAAACCGTGACCCGAGAAACTGGAAGGATTTTCGAGAAATGAATGTTACATCGTAATGATGTTACATCGTAATTGCATGCATGAATATGATGTAACAAATTTTGCAACAAATTCTGATTTGCACAAACGTCTACTGTTCGACCGACAATTTTGGAGAAGTAGTTATTTAAATTGTGATAGCATCCCCTCATTGAACAAAGACTACCCACGGAAAAGGGCCTAACATCTCAAAGGAAGAAACACCATGTCGAGTGTCACACAATTTTTCTTTTGTATCAACGACACACCAAGGCTTGTGCAGTAAAATTTTCTCTTCATTCAGAGTATCTGCAATATGATATGAATAAGCCGAATGATGCTCCAAACTCCGAAGGAATTCTCCGTTGGATGGCGCACGAAGAAAATGGGCGTGTGCATGCATCCACTTTCCGAAGTGGAAACCAACGATTTGTTCACTCCCCGAAAATACGGCATATCTCCAATAGAAGGACAGCAGGGTTGTTTCACTAAATACACAGCTAACCAAGTGTCAAAATCAACCGTCTATTAGGCTGGATCTCCCGATGCATCAACGCGCAATTATCCCATATTCGCCTCATATTATGGGTACGTACCAGGTGTGTCTAAGACAGAACAGGTGATGAAACCAATTCATGATACATGTCTACGACGGTCAGTTATTGTGACACAGTACTCCTTCCCAGAACAAAGACCATCCCAATAAGAGCTATTTTTTATAACAATGAAAATTCAGTGATCAAGTTGACCAAGTTATGAGGGTTAAAACAGCTGCAACACCGACCAGCATCATCCGCAAACATGATTACGCTACTATTGATCTAGTCTGATACGTGTCACCTGGCGTCACACTTTCTACAGCCGCATGTCCCGTATCGGTTCGTGAATGGTGACGCGGCCCCAAAACATGTGGTACCTAAAACAAGTACACAGTATACAGAACCACGTATCACTCCGCATGTCAGATCTGGTACCAGTATCGATGCAGGTTCGGACAAAGACGTTGGTTTGTCATTAGTTTACACCAATGATGAGCACGACTTTATTGTTGCCTTCATATTTGGTCATTTAATTGTTACCACATCCGTGTCAAAGTCATGTGGAAATTCATAATCAGTGTGACGATAAATGTAGACATGGGTTATGAATAGCTAACGGTAGTTCCAGTTTGATTTTCATCATTGACTTTAGCTGAAGCCAGTCCAGCCTCAGGCGTCCAAAATAATGTTTTCTGATAAGAGGTAAAACAATCCGCTGGACGTGTCGTCGATTGTCGAAACTGAAGTAAAACATGGGCGTAGAATGAATGAAAGCAAATGGAGTACCGTATTGTATTTGGGTCAAGGATTTCCTGTCCAGCTCCGGTTGTTTGGCTTTTACTGTCGCAAATCAGCCACTGCAATCTTTGCCCAATTTACCATCGTTTTGTTGTTTCTGTGACGCTCATTTGTAGTTTTGGTCTCAGGCGCTGCAATGTTTATTCCAGATTAAAATATTCTTTGAACTTCAAAACCATATTGTCCGTTATGGCACTGATCATGTAACCGATTTCCGAGAGCCAATAAGTGTCCGTTTAACAACTGCCGTTTCTGGTATCGTATGCTTTGGGTCCGCGACTAAGGATAGTAACAGAATTGTCAGCTGAAACCCCATAGCAATCCTCTGGGCTGAAAACTAGCATGCGTGCAGTATGAAGCACTATTCCGCAGAATCTGAGTAAAGCACTCAGCTTTCGGAACACATGATGGACTTACAGCATGAACGTACACAAGCAGGTAGCCTTCATTTACAATTCGATGCGCGGGCGACTTAACTCGTCACCCACAAGTCGGTGTGTACATACGTGTAGCAGATTTACTGAAAGCTAAAGAAGACCATCAGCACCACTCGCGCGCTATCACATCCTTGATGCAAACGAAGTGGATGGCCGAGAACCATACGAATGTTGAGGCTTTACTAACAGGACAGAAACACTAATTCTTGTAGGTGGATAAAATTTCACCCATTCTATTTAAACGGAAGCTGGGTTGAGGAGGAACAATCGATCGGTAGCATCGCCAGTGACACGGCAGTGGTGGCAAAGCCGGAGCGAAGACAGTGTTCGGATTATCAGACCACTAGACATCAAAGAGATCCTTATGCCTAAATTGTGAGAACCGCGTTAAACCATCACCTGTTCGCAATGAACTTCAGGGGAGGACCGTTTTCGGAAAAGTTTGACCACAGTCGATAGATTTATTGCTTGGCGACGTTTCAGAGGAGGATGTTTTTTCCACACCGTCAATTTCTTCACTTGCACCTTGGTCAGGCTTGTTTTGTGGTCGACTCCGCCAAGCCTCTCAAGGTCAAATTCGGACCCTACACATGCACATAACAAGCCGATGTTGATTCGACCAACGTGCCGCCTGCGTGGTGCGCAGCTGCATGAGTCATGCGCATCAATTGCCCTGTCTAGCCAACACTGGCGTGTGTGTGTGTGTGAACTTCCCCATGTCCACTACTAACTGAAGGACGTCCACGCAACCACGTCGTTAAACGCCATTCGCAGTAGCTGCCACGGAACGGTGGATTTAGGCCGAATTATTCTACACCTGAAGAAGAAGTCTGAGTAGCTCATTCAGTAACCTTGCTGACTTCCGATGAGATGGCACTGTTTAGGGTTTCTGCACGAGGGCTTGCCGGTCCTCATTTTAAAACACTCCTTCACCAATAGAAAAAGCTTGGCAGATGGACGACAAAACCACTGCTTTATGCATCGAAAATCTGAGTCACAGCCCAGAGGTGATATATTTGATGGAGTATATCCTACGTACATTGCACATTTAAAGCCTGGTCATACGGTACAGCTGCACCAAATGTGTGAGAAAATCCTTAGGGTGAGTTGAGCACGGGTAGTCGAAAGGGCAAAAGAACTCTACCGAAAATGTCCGGGTTCGAGACACCAAAAGCCAGGAAAAGTCCCTGCGCAGCAGACACGTTTAGCGTGGTTTACTTTAGTTCAAATGCAAATAATACATCCAACTGATGATAATTTGTTTCACTGTCTAAAACGTGTGGTGGTTAGAAGTGGCCGCAGTTTGTCCTAGACAAATTCTTCCGGTGTGTTCTCGTGTCACATGGATGAAATTTTGCATGCATGAATATAACATAGGTGTACACACGTACAAACATACATACATAAATATCCAAAAAACCAGTATCTATGGAGCATTCATGACGTTAGTCACATATTGCCAGGAAACAAACGTACCATGGACAGCCTCTCTTAGATCATTGTTTCTATCGTTAAAAATCGAATGTCCTTAGTGGTGGCCATTTGCAAATTCTAATATGCTTGATTTTGGGACAGTGAATCAATACCCTACGGTAAGTGCTAATTATGAAAATGATCTCGTATTGTCAGACAACACCTGCTTTTGTTGCACACCTAGATGATAAATCAGTAGAAGTATGCCGCATGTTCCGATGAAGGTTTTCAGAACCAGTTACCACAGATCTCGTCGTGCTTGATTATCTGTTCGATATCGGCAAGCCACCGTTTGGAAGTGACAGTTGTGATATAGAGACCGAAATATCAGCCAAAAAATGAGTAATCTGTTCAAAGAAACCGTACCCATGGCAGCTGATTATATACATAGTAGAGCAGCCTTTATTTTACCACCAACACCCAGATTTGTGTTTCGCTTCAATAACTGAGCTCGAGATAATTCATCGGTTGAGGCGCAGAATTACTGACAGGAGGGCCATGGTTCAAACCCGAATGTTGTTTTTCACCTACTTCTGTCGAGGTTTGTGTAACGTGATAGGATCTCAGCTCCCCTGCTTCCTTCGAGCAGCATGGCCACTAAGCAGCAAAGGGATTTCACAGCTGAACGATAATGCTTTAATTAGTCGACTTTTCCCTGAAGGAATTATCAAGGCAGACAACTTTTGTGTAGCAACAAAAGGTCAGAAGTCACGGCTCGTATACCTATACACTCAAACTAGTGAACTGGCCTTATTTGGTGTCCACACATTTGCTTGCCGTTTTTAATCACGTTTGAATCATTTGCGAGTTCACCGGGTTCATTATGGATTTCGCTCTGTATAACAAAAAACCGGTTGTTAATTTGTTAGACATGTTATTTTAACAGCACAAAGTTGCACTGAGTTTTCAGGAGTGATTAACGGTTCGAGAAAAACTAGAGGACTACGCCTCAGGAGTGAACGTGGGCTTTTGCAGGCCTTTCATCTCTCCTATATGTAGAGTTGTACGAAGTGACAAGAAGTGAATAATTCATGTCAAACAGTTCTTTTGTGTAAAAACACACTGTGGCTGATAACATCTTAAAAGATGAGTGGACGTGACTTGATACATGATCCATTCACATAATAATCAAAGTCGTTAGGGAGAGCAACACTAGTGCTGACGTTGATACTACAACGCCATGCAGCCACAAAGTTCAGCTCATCAGCTGAAAGAACCACGCACTTGTCGTACAGTGTTTATAGCTGCCACAGTTTCGTTCATTCATGATTTGAGGAAGTAGAGTAGGTAGCTGCGTATTGGAGACGGAATCTGATATAAGTGATGCGTATATACAGGGTAGTCAGTGGACTTTCAAGTGGGGAGACTGAGAAGAGAGCTATGCACTGAAGTCAATAGCTTGGATGCACGAGCGCCATTGAGGGGGAAACTGGGTCATATCTGACAATGCCCCTAACCATTGATATATCCCGTCTAGAGGTCCCCATTCACGGGACATAATTACACGTAAAGCCTAGAAATGGAGAAAGAAAGGAGTGAATAGGAAAGAGTCCTGGTAGTATCCAAATGACCAATCAAATAATCTGGAGAGGAGCTTATAACACGAAAGTCACTGACACCAGTTAGATACTATTTCTTGCAACGTCTCCAATCACACAGAGGAAATTTCATGAGGTACTAAAGGGTGGATCGCATCGATAAAATTGGAAACTCTTTGTAAACTTTTTCGAACTCCTCTGCTGTCACATTCTAACGGAAAGAGGAAGATTAATATTCTTCTCGGCAGACGATGTCTCGGTATGCGTGGCAAATCTCACAGCCACCGCGGTTGATTGCGGTGGATGTTTTCTGCGACTGAAGTACCTCATGCACAACCGAGCGCCCATTTTTTAATCAGCCCGTTACGAATTCCTTGACATCATCTGATACCAACAACGCCCGGGGCATCGCCTCTGGTCAAAAACTTCAGATCATCTGTCTGTAGAGGCCATGATTCGTAACCATACAACATCATACTTCTTATTATAGCCTAGTGCATACGACCCTCGAAAGAGATAGAGATATGCCTTCTGACACTATAAGTGAGGTCACTGGGCAAATATAATGCGAGCCCTCCACATCACTGAAGTGGCTTCATCAGACACACTACCATCAGTGATTATATGATGGACTGCATGCTCTGAAGCCATTCTGCGGTATTTAGGTGCAAGGTATATGTTAAAAGATTGAACATTGTTAGTTGTGTAGGTCATGGTTGTACGAGGGCTGGGATACTGCCAGGGCGCCCACACCTAGACAGGAGGACGATTAGGGTCCTCAACCAAAGCCTTTGGCTCAAAAGCCTAACCGCAAGGCAGCGGTGCTTGGCGGGAAATGCAAATGCATTACCATTTCTACGGAACAAGTCGCCACATGTTCCAATCCCCAACCTGGAGGGCCAGGAGACTGTGTTCGTCAGACCTCTAACCATTGACCAACCTGGTATGAGAGACTCTGTGAGTGTCGCGGGACACTCTCCAGTATAGCTCAATGGATCGCTGAGGTGCGCAAACCGTCACACCACGGTAAGGTCCAGTCTCTTCGTGACGGCAGTGAAGCATTGGTGTTGAACACTGATGTCATGCTGCCTTTGATGATGATGAAAAGATTGAATTATGGTGGTCGGCCCACTCGACAGCCCTAATGTTTCTTCTGATTTGAAATAGTGGATCCACGTCGACGTGGTTCTCACCAGTAATAACCTGAACACAGGGATTATGGAGAACCTCCGGAGTTCACCTCACTATTTTATCGACGAGGAAGTTGAATAGCANAGACTCAATGTTGAAAAAAAGTCCCTGGTTTACACTACAAGTAAAAGCTTTTGATATTTCTCACCACTGACCGTCCACATCCACCACCAAAATGATAGGCAAGCATCCAAACAGTCGGCTCTGAAAAGTTTGTTTGATTTGTGGGTTCATGAGCTTCACAATGTCCGAGTGATGTATACGTGTTTTGGGCAAACCTGACAGTTGCATTGAGAGGAAACAACAGATACGCGCGTGACTCGAGTCGATATGAGTATTCTGGAGAACGTGGTAGTCAACGGTCGATCCTCGTTACCGTTACCTGATAGCAGATGCTGTTCCTTTGGTGGGCAGCACGAGGTCAGACGGTTTGCACTGCTCCAGAAAGGTGTACTCCAAACAAATAGTCTGTGGTCAGCACACGAATGCATTGCGTCTCGTGTCTAATCCGCCCACACAAGCCTCAAAATACTAAGCCTACGCACACGTGCGCTCGCGTCACCAGGAGCCAGAACGATGTTTGATATTTTGGCCCGTTGTGAAAAAATAACTAGTGTCATAGAAGCTGTTTTTAGTACATAAGGAGCCAAATTATGTTTGGACACGAACTGGTACAAAAGCTAAGGGGCAACTGATTTACCATACAGACTGGCAAAAAACCTCACAGAGATGACTATCAATGGACATCCATTCAAGCAGACACTTCCGTTCAGCGGCGCAAAACAATATGGACCACGGCATATCCAAATTCAACGGCCTGCGCCCGATCAGCGTTGCGCAAATGAAAGTGAGAATTGAGCGACGGGTCAGTCAGTCCAAGTAAAATATTTGTTTTGAATGCATGCCTATGAAAGACGTCAATGCGGAGTAGATTCAGGGCAACTTGTTATCTTTATTGCTTTAAAGTGAGTCAGCCAGGTTAAAAAAGCTTCCAGGGATTGAAAATTAGTTTCAAGGGGCTTGGGGAAGTTATCGAAGACCAATGCACAGAAGCTGCAGCAAACGAAGCTGTCGGCCTTGGTGTTGGAAACTGTAGACGGAGTAGTCACAGTGTGGAAAGGGGAGAAGGGATGGATGAATGTGAAGGAAACTAGGCACTAGCAGTAGCGCGCTTTCGCTTATTTGTTGCACGTGAGTATTTTTAGTAGTGAAGTTCACGGCAACGCGAAGACTGGGATTTTGTCAGAGGTGCCCATGCGCAGACGACATGGTAATTAGGGTGCACAAAACAGAGTCCTTGCCTCAAAAGCTTGACGGCAAGGAAGCGGGTGGGTGCCAGTTTGCTACCAAAATAGTACACTTTACTGGTTGGAACACCATGCATGTTCCAACCTAGAAAACTCGGATACTTTGTTCGTCAGAGTTCTGTCCACGGACCGACTTGATACAAAGAACTCTGGGCGTCAAACTGCATAGCCACGAATGACAGAGGTACACAACCCACCAAAAATCAATAAGGTCCAAAATCTTTGCAGAGAGGGGGCGAAACCAAGGGGCAAACTTCCAGATAACATCCATGGAAGAGAAGCAGCATACATAAAAACTGTTTTCGCGGATGGTGTGAGGATGATTTACCAGGACAAAACACCAATCGCAATCCAAGTAAGAGTATGCAATTCACTTTTCCGTTCATAAAAGTGTACGTTAGGAGTGCTTGGAGTGTAGACAGGCAGAACGACACTGCTTAGCAACCTACCTTGACGGCTTCACTGGCACCGGATGATAAGAATATATCGTTGGGATTCGCGCTGAGACCATCTCGCTTTTCAATATATCTTGCGATGTCCTGCCGAACAATTCTAACCCCCGTAGACTCGCTGTAAACTCCTGAAGTATGAATAATAAAGGGTAGGACGTTCAGAATCACGTGCGATAAGCAGGTTAAAACGGACAGTTGTGACCATCAACAAAGGCGATGGGTTTTCCAACAATAACGAACAAGTGGAATGTTTCTCGTGTAATGAACACACCTTTTTATCTACTGCTATATAGACCGGCACTCCAGTGCTCTCAAGCACTTCATGGATTGCAGGCAGTTTCGGGATTTGAAAAATTCACATCCACATCAGTCTCATTTAAACAGTTCCGAACGATTATTCTGGTGAGCGCACATCAAACGATGGAGGCATTGAACTCGAGTTTCTTTATTGCTAGAGCTCATCAGTAGTGCGTATCCGCGTCCTTGTCGCGGTTTGAACTACTGACATGTGACTTGCGAAGCAAGCTTGTTTCCACTACACCATTAGTCTGCGCTTGATGCAACTGAATTACCACATCTGAACAGGTGAACAAGTTCGCGCTTGAGCGATGAAATTGGCTTACTCCACGCCCCGGAAGATGAATGGATATTTGGATCGGGTGCACCCACCCTGTATTAGTGGATTGGTGATAACACACTCGCCTCGCACGTCAAATGTCTGGAGCTCAGAGTCCGGTACAGCTAAAGATATGCACTGTTGAGGAGCTCTAATGAGAGCGAAACTCGAGCCAGGTGCTTTCCTCTCACTATTCCAACGGGAGTGATGTAAATATGAACAGCAAAGAGATATTTAAGTTCTTCTGGTGCGCACATGACAAGTTAAAATGACCGGCAATCATCGGATTTTGGGAGCAACAAGGAGGTGGCGGAAATAAAACAGTAGGAAAGGACCAAGTCTACCGTGCCATGTCACTTCGTTTCCTCCAGAAGAGCATGAGGCTTGGTGATCTAATGCCAAACTCCTGGGCGTCGAGCGGCTCTGAATTCTCCCACCTAAATGGGGTTAAGCGACAGGAACCCACACTGTGCCTATCAAAGAAGCCCTGTCCATCAAGTTTTATCAGTCAGATCCATGCTCACAAGCAGTTTCGAAGAGATGCACGTGGTTGGTGTGGCCCTGATCACGTGACCCCGGATAGCATAACTACATGTCTGTCCGTTAAACTGTTTCTGTAGCTCCACCTCATATATTGCTTGCAACTTCTATATCCCTCAACGCAAGTGGTTAAAAGAATTGGAAATTTCCTGCGACATACCTCCCTGATTTGTACTGATGCGAGCGATAAAAGGGACCCACATTTTTTAACCAAAGTATACATGGAAACTGAATGCGATCGCTCTCAGAATCAGGACACAGTTCCAAGTATTTCGGCTTCTTGTCATCATCATCATCATCAGGCGAGCGATAGACCCACATTTTTTAACCAAAGTATACATGGAAACTGAATGCGATCGCTCTCAGAATCAGGACACAGTTCCAAGTATTTCATTTCGTTGTCATCATCATCATCATCAGCATCATCATCA